TAAAGTGACTCGAGGTGGCCAACTGATGGACGAGCCAGTGTTTTTATTATCCCTCACGACTCTGTTACCGAACAGCCAACCCCGGAGAGATGGAGGGAACGGTTGGCCTGGGCAGATATCGATAGAGGATCCGGTCCTGAGACCAGGTGTGGATGTGGTAGTGTGGCACTTGCCGTTACACCTTCCCTGCCTTTTCTGATAAGAAATATGTAGAGTGATGGAATAAATATGTGTACGATGCTGTGCTTCAAACACTGGGGACCAAATCTTTCAAGCTTGATAGTTTCAGAACCGAGGCGTCGTGTTGGCCGTGTCACTGATCGCCCTGGCCATTTGGGACACAGTGCTGCTGTGGTGCGCATTTTTCTACTACGCCATTCGAAAATTGCCAATCGCCATCAATTCCGATTGGCTGAACATCTTGATGCCATGGTTTCATCCCTTCTCTCAGATTGCCAATACAGCAGCGGTTAGTACAAATGCCAGAAGAACATTATTCGTAGCTTTTTTAACTACTTCAAAATGTTTGGTGCTAGCATTGTTCATTCAACTGAGTTCTCTTTAGACATGGTGTGTTGTCGCTATCACTTGGCAGCGGTTCATGGCCACGAGGGATCCATTCAGGACCCCAAGGTATGTCATTGATCAATTTACGTTGAAAAACAATAAGCACTTTTTTTGAGGACGAGTTTCCCTTCAAATTCAACGTGGTATGAATATTGGCAGTCATGATGGGGTCCCCTAACGACGTTGTCTTCTTTAAAGTCTTTTGACTTTGGTCACTTGCGGAATGAGCCCAGCGTTCGACCTAGGTTCAAAATCGTAGTGGCGTTTTAATGCGTATATCGTCTACGCAACAGCTTCACCGTAGCCAGCCCGTGTACAAATCAGCGCGTTAATCCTCCCAAACAAGTTTGTCATCCGGGTGGGATGGGAAGCTTGGTTGACCTAATTGGGTATGAAACCAGGATTCGATTCTCAGATTATGCATTGATTAGTGCTGCACCTAACTTTACTACACCTCCTGCTCATGCTGCGTATCAGACCTTGCAGAAATTTCTGCCAATGATCCCGCAACCGTTCCCTTTTACGCGACCTCTCTCTTTCCTTAATGAACTCTCAGTAAGCAGTCTGTTCAAAATCCCGCATGATATTTCAATATATTACATTTTTACGATAGCTTCCAGCAACATAAATTTTATTTTATGTTGTTTATTAAGATTTTTTTTTCGGAGGAATGTGAAGAGATGCTTAAATACATGCCCCGTGGAGGAAAGCAGTTGCATATTAGTAATTGTATGAAATACAGAAAAAGGTAGTGTGATCCTGGAACGCCTAGGTCAATCTAACCTTCCATGCCTCTGGGATCGGATAATTAGTCCCAGAATCGTATGTGAGGAAAAGCACCGGCCTTTATAATGACTGGCCAGTCATTGTAGAGGCCACACACGCATACAAACCGCCACTAAGATTCTGAATGAAGTCGAACTTAAGGACGTATCCTTCAGCCGGGTCGATTAACGCCAAAAAACTTCATCCATATGGAACGGTAGCTATCAAAAGTATCCACATAAAGTGATGTATGCAGGGCCTAGCCCATCCTAAGGACATTCTATTTCGCTAACCTTTTATCATTCGAATTTCATTCGACTTGAAAATTCCTTAGAACGCTTCATCCGTCTACACTACTTCTCCTTCCCAGAAACTACACCCTGATTACATCAAAATTTCTGCTAATGTCGCTGATTACCCTGCGGCAACCCTGATCATAGCAATCACTCCAACTTCAAATTACAGGTCGGCAGCAGTAGTACAGTCTTTCCGAAGCGAACGGCGGATATCATTCATGTACTGTTCGACGTATCGACGTCTTTTACGAATGCCAATTGCGCTCTCTATTGGAGCCGTTTTATTAAACATTCCAGCCTTTTTTGAACTATATAATTATTTGTGCTACAAAGCGGAAGAAAATCGCATAGCAATTTCGGTATGTTTTGAAAAAGCTCGTTATTCATTTGTCAAGACTTCGAAATGAAATTTTTTTT